ATCGATATATTCCATTCAAAATCGTGACGATGAACGAAAATATATGAAATTTTGAAAATATTCTCTATGAAAATATCATTTTATTTGAATATCATTAATGCTCTTCACTACAATTTGGAAAAAAACAATGAAATATGAAATCTTAGAGGATAATTACGATCTTTTCAAAAATAATCGAACGAATTCGCGATTTTGAGAATCATATAGAGCGCATCCAATAAATTTATATGAAAGAAATTCTCATAAATATAATATAATAAATATATATATATATCGAATATCAGAATTTCGTATTTTAGAATATACAAAACTAATCAAAATAAATATCATATGAAAAGAGAGAAAAATAAATAATAAATATCAATTATCATATTGAATTATATAGAAATAAATAGATATCCAATCAAATAGATATTTACTTATTTTAATTATATAACAATAAGTCCTAGGCATCCAAGCTCTTGGCTTTTGAGGTCTCCGACTCCGAATCCTGATTCGTGATATGGCGTTTCAAAGACCCTATTCTCCAAAACATACTTTTTTTCGACTTAGAAGATTTTCGTCATAATAACCAAAAATCCCTCTATGGGATGATTCCAATTGCAGGAGATTTTGCGCAATAACGATATAGATGCCTTGAAAAAATTGGCTGACTATTGATTCCGAAATTATAATGCTGCCTGCGGCTTGCTGCTTGCTACACTGCTTTTGCTCGTTATAATTATTATAACGAATCATTGCTCGCGTCCATTACTCAATTCAGTTATATACGTAATATGCTTCCTATATTTATTACTCGGACCTTGAAAAATGGAATCTAATCTATTTCAATAATAAAATCTTGCTATCCCGTCCTGAGAGCATACAATCATTGAGCCCATCCCAATTGTACGCGTCAGTGACGCATACACTTTTTTGGGGAGGAGTATTAGCTCAAGCACTTTTTAGGCAAGTCGGGCCGTAATTATAGAGATATTTATATTTAGCATATGTCGTATTGGGTAGTACGCGGAATATTACAGAATCTGACGAAATAAATTCGCGGCGAGCCTTCCTCTATAAATCTTGATCATAGAGATCATTTGCGCCAGAAGAATCGGCACGCCAAATCTCACGGAAAATGACGCCTCCTGCAGGCTCAAAGACCCTGCTGAGAGTCTCCCAAGAGAGCCTTAGCCGGAATCTAATGGAAAATAACGATATCTAATGCCCCCAGCCATCTCCCGCCCCTCCTTCAAAATTCTCCCGGAAGAAGAAAAATATTTCCAGGAAAAGAAATTAAACCCCTCGCAAGAAATTTATCCCCCCAAGTTGCTTAGAAAGAAACTTAATTTGGCCTTTAATCCCCCCAAGCTCGCCATATATTCTATAACCAAACTTCCAGAAAGATCAGGGCATACGATTCTTGGAAAAAATTTGAGATCCGACCCTCAATCTTTCTGCCCAAAATTAAGATCTTATTGCCCAAAATTAAGGATATGCCGCGACCACCTCCCGCTTTAATTTTAATTTTGAGAAGAGCGATGAGGTAGCTGCCTACCACGTAGATCATAATTCCTCATTAATATGCCCATTCGTATATAGCGTAGGAGGTATTTGTCGTGGCCGTCCAAATATCCTCTCCTCTTTCAAAGATCTAAAGGTCATGCCATATTCTTCATTGACCTCCTTTCAATCGATCTCCTATTTTCGACCTCCAATCAGATGAATCGTATTGTATGTTTTCTATATAACTCCCTATGTCACGATAAATAGGCCATAATCAATCATCTCGGTTCCTTAAACAAAGAGCAAACGTATAACGTGGCAAGGCAAGATTTAGATAGCCCAAGAATCTAATTAGACGACTTTGGGACCAAGACCCTCCTCAACAAGGTTGGGGTCTAGACCTTAAAAACTAAGATCTTAGAAGTTTAGGGTAATTCAATATAGAATATCATAAATTCTGAATGAAATATCTTTTTATTATTTAAAATATTTTCCTAGATATATTAGATTCAAAATATTGAAATTCAATAAATATATCAGTATATAGAATCTCCTATATCGTTAGAATATTATATCTGCGTTCAATCTCGGATTTATTTTTCTGAAGATTTCCGTTCTGAAATCTTTGGGAGAACGAACGCTTTTTCCTATTCCCCGATAGGATCCTGATATATCCGCGCGTTCCAATTCCGTTTCCTTTCAGGATATAGTTATTCGATCAACGGAATATGACGACAGAAATATTTCATCAACCCTAATCCCCAATTCCCAGCCCCGAATGCCCATTTCCTGGAATCAAATCCTATTCAATACAGCCAATTCCTCTGTTGTCTCGAAGCACCCTTCGTCTTTGATCCTGCCCTTGTAAGGGTAGTCTTTTCACGAATCACGCAAGGATTGGGAGACCATAAGGATAACTAGATATTAGGCCCTGATGACTTCCAGATTCCTGGAGGTCGGCCAAGCTTGCTAGGGATGCTCACAGCTCCATATCCAGCTCTGGGCATCTGGACCTAGGGGCACAAGCTTGTCAAAAAATTGGGCGACATGTTTTGGGATTTCGAGCAGGCGGCTTCCTTCTAAAGGATTGGTGGGTACATGGGAATCGAGAAGGAGGCTGTAAGACGATGCAAAGACGTCTCCAGATAAGAGGACTGCTTCCCCCGCATCCTATGTAGAAAATGTATAAACTGTAAACTCTAAACCCATTGGTTTGGCGTTACGTTCCCCTACATGCCCATTGTGAGCGGCGCCAAAGAACCTAGAGGCCAGCCTTCTATCCAATTTAACACGTTATCACTTTGTGTTCTTCTTATCGTTTCCCACCATCTGCACACGCCGATGAACTGTGTCAGCTCTATATAAATCGTAGAGAGCTGGGTTTTTGTCCATGTGTCTTCCCAAGGAACACTGCGCGAAGTCAACCAACACCCGAAACCCACATCATCCTACCAGTGCTTAGGGGGACCGCGGGAGTATACAGGGCTTAGGGCTTAAGGGATAGATGATTCGTTGTAGGGATCAAGTCTCCTGTTCCATTCCCCCTTAAGCACTGGTACTAGGAAATCAGGAGGTGTTTGTGTTTCTACCTGAGCGATGATATGCGGGTACGTGCGGTTTAAGGATAAGGATAAGGTGTAAGGTGTAGATGTCTCGAGCACTGTTGTTGGGCTTTGAACGCTTCATTGGTGTTTTTACGCCGGAGCGCTTCAAGGGTTTGTGGGGCTGTTTGGTGGCGAATCCTAGGGAATCAAATCTTGAGTTTTCACTAAGTGCGCTAAATTTGGGAGATCCGTGATCTGGAGGAACTAATATCATCATGCCAATGTTGGCAATCAAGGTGATCGTCATGCAGCCGCATAGCAGCCATAATAAATGAACACAACAAACAAGAAACGGTTAGGAGATTGTAAGCATTACCCGGGGCCCCGACCCCGATAGTCCCTGTAGCCCACCCTAAACCCCTCATTCCCTACGAATCACCAGGAAGATAGCGTCTTCCATATGCAGGGTTTCCTAGAACAGCGTTTGGAGCATCCTAATAGACTATGGTCTCTTGGGTCCGGACTGTGAAATGAGGAGGGTGTTGGGCTGGAGGTGTACTGATCAGGGGGCCCTCAATCCCATAGGATCCCAGTAGTGAAGGATTCCATCCAAATCCTGAGCCTTGAGCCCTTGGACCCCTAACACCCAAGTCCCTAAAACGCTCAAATTCCAATCCCTATACAGCTTAGCCTCTACACCCTAATCCCGAAAACCCTTGAAACCCAAATCCTTAACCCTGAAACCCTTTCAGTATCAAGTGTAGTTTCCTTAGACCTATAATAAAACTATCTGCAGTCCAGTGGCAGGAGGCCGTGCGCTGGCTGCTGCGCGAACCATCTGGTAAGCAACGAGGCCTAACCAGGGGTTTAGGCTTGTTGGGTTTAGGGTTTAGGGTTTAGGCCCTTGGGCAGCTCCTTTTTTGGGTAGTATATTGAAACCCTTACCAACAGTAATTAGAAAGACCCCCCAACAAGGAACTACATAGGAGCCCTGAGGTGTAGTAGAAACCCGAGAGTTAGGGCTCCAGATTTTTGGGTTTAACTCGCAGGTAGCACCGTGTTGCTCTTGACTATAACTGTTTTGTCCGCCCCCCGCGATCCAAGAGACAAGGGGCAAAACAAATAAAAAATATGATGCAGGAGGCTGCAGGGCTGTCAGGGTTTAGGTTTGCGCTTTGGAGGTTGAGGGGTTTAGGGTTGAGAAAAGCCCTTGCCGATTGAAAACGGGTTGCAGATGGCCCTCTCGAAGGAGTGCGCGGGTGACATGTCAAACAACTGCCCCGTATCCTTTACATATGCCAAGAAACCCTAAACCCTGAAGCCCTTAGATCTAAAAACCCAAGCCCTGAACCCAGCTGGTACCCCCAATAGCTGGTGTCCATTAAGCCTAAACTCTATTTTTCAGGCCTAAGCCCTAAACCCTGAACCCTCAACAGTAGAGTCTAACCAAGGCATGCCACCGGATCCGCAATGCAACAGGACCTTGGCTGGAATGGGAGCAAGGGAGCTTTGGATTAGGAGTTCAAAGAGCGGAGAAGATGATAGACCTATTTTCACCCTCTGATCCCTCACCCAAAGAAAATCTCCACCCTCAAAGCTATAGTCCCCCTTAAGTAGATAGAATATGGCTTTGAGTATATCAGAATAAGATCCCCATATACCATATACCCCATACTCTCATACTTAAGGGGGACTATACATCCTGCCTCAGAGCCCCATCTCAAGAGTTGTTCTCGGAAGACCGGACATCACGCCGAGTTCGGGTTGCTGCTGACAGCTGCGTGTGTAGTCTCTACGGCAGCATCTATGAGAAGCTGCAGATTTTCGCTCGATGTTTCATGTTTTTTGACGGACGCAACCATTTAACACCGCCATTTACTACATCTTCCGCCTGCAGCATCACCTTCCCTTGAACCCTACGTCCTAGATCCCCAAACTCCACAGCCATTGCCTGAGCTGCCGAGAGGCTATGGCCATATAGTAACTTAGAATCCGGCAGTTCTCTAGGTCGTCATTGAAGACCATGGCATACCAAGTGCGTACGTGTTCGTAGTCTGCAGCTCGCCATACCGTGGCGACTATGGTGCTGCAGAGAATGCCCCGGAGCATGATCTGCAACGGAACCCCCAAAGTAAACTTCTCCACGCCCTCCTCATCCTTCGGCCCGACCTGGGCGGTTGTCCCGATCGAATGAGTTCCCATGTAGAAAATTTCCAGAAGTGGGCAATAATATTGTCATATGGTGATCTCTGTGGATCCGAGTGCCTAATGCTCGGGGTGTTAGGGTTTGGGAGTTTAGAAAATGATGCTTCGGCGCTTGGACCTTTAACCTCCCTGCTCGTCAAGGTGAATCGAATTCTTCCGCAAAAGCCTGCTTGCCGGATGGCAGGGAACGAAGGACTGAGGGTGTCTGTGCGGCAAATGTTTGTGATAAATCTAATTACTGCGGTATTTCCTTCCCTCTCTTCGCCCTCGTCCTCGTCCTCGTCCCCCTACTGTGGCAGTTGCTACTGCACGAACTACCAGTACCATTCTTATTCCTGCCTTCCCTCAAACCATCAGCCAGAATCTGGTCCAGCGACATCCACAAGCAAGCGCAGAGGCCCTGTGAGCCCAACGTCAAGGAGCGATTGGATTCCTTCGGTTGATTTGCCCAAGCTAACATGAAGCCCCGTATGCCCCCTTCTACAAAAACACTGTTTGGAGAGCCCTTCTGAAGATTCGATTTCAATTCGAGGGAGGGTAGGCTTCGGGTACAAGGTTTTGCGTTTGAGGCTTTGACACCGTCCCGCATGTATCGGCCCCATTTCCATGAGCCATCCCCAATGCAGGACGCTTGACTTCACAACCTAGATTCGGAGCTCTAGGGTGTAGAGTGTAGAGCTTTGGAGGTAGAGGATGTATCTAAGGCTCTGAGTTCTGTGATGCTCGGGATTGTAACTGCCACAACCAAACCTTGCAAGTGGACCAGAGATCTAAATTTCCGACGCAAATACAGTTCTCAGTAGATCACCTACATTTTCCAAAGTCAAAATGTACCCTATACAAACGGACTAACGCTTCTCAGAACCCACCAATTTTTTCAAAGAGTCTTGGTTTTCCGGTCGCAAGGGATGCAGCCAAAGTTGAAGACGCAAGCATGAAGAGTAGGGCTCCCACAGCAATCCGGCAGAGGTAGTACGGTTCGATGGCTGCTGCAGGCTTAACACCATGCTTTAGCTGCTGAAGGTAGCCTTCCCCATTCTGGGTTAGGAAGTTCCCTACCACTGTAAAAAGAGTTTCTTGGACGGTGTCCGGCGAACTCAAATGCTTTGGGTTAAGCGCCTCAGCGAACTCAATGAAAAGTTGCTGCATGATGTCCACCAATGATTGGATTGCAGCACCATCCTGATCGGCCGGATGTGCCTCACTGGCCAGGACTAAAGTTGCCACCATCAACGTGATGTCCAAGGCACCATGCAGCATCACGACAACAGATGCTGCAGTATCCAAGCCTCTTGCTTTGCACAGTGCAGCCGACACCGGACGAGAGGCATTAAGCATAAGCAGAAATGCCGTGAGCAATGACTGAAGATGGGGTCGGTACTGCCTTGGTGCAGTAGCAGTTGTGCCACGACGGTCGTCCATCTTCTTGCACTGCTTTAACCTTGCTTCTCTGAGTCGGTCCATGATGAATTCAACCACAGACCGCTGTGGGACCATCCACAGGGTCCAGCGTAGGAGTCGTGCTTTCAATGTAGCCATCTCTGCAAGAAACTTGTCGGCAGTCAAGGCTAACCGGTGGTCTTCAGACAATGATTCCACTAGCATGTCCTGGAAACGCCCATTGAGTTCACTCATGTACCCGAAGCCTGGCATTCCCCGTCGCACTTTGCTGTCTTCTGGCCTTGAATTTATGGTAGGGAAGTAGAGATCTCGCCGGGAGGTCATATCAGCCATGGGGACTAACGTCCAACGTGATTCAGAGCAGTGCCAGGCATTCCACAACTCCGCAAAAACTCCCTGTGCATCATCAAGGAAGCCCTTGGGCAATGCTTGCTTCACTTTACCATTGCCTTCAGTGTCGGCCATAGTATTCACCACGAGCGTCACCTGCTCATGTCCCAAAACGAGAGTCTGCCGGCATCCGGCCCAACCCAAAATTCGCAGAGTGTGGTAAAATTATGGGTCCAGGAGACCGGTGTAGTTAATCACGTGAAAAAGTTGACGATGATAAACACCTGCGTGCCACTCGACTCGACAGATTCGTCGTCAAACCCTCCCAAATTGAGATCTAGACAATAATCTTGAGACAACCCCGACCTCCTGCCACTTTTCACCAAGGACCTTCTCAGCCTCTGATGTGCGCAAACGAACGCCATCGGGTGTACTCGTTGACACAAAGATCCTTGGCTCCTGCTCAGGACTATCTAAACCTCCCACATCCCCATAATACTGGCTGTTCTCCTGATGTCGTACCCATTGTTTGGGGAAACGGCCATCACGGTGGGCATGTGGGAGGTCTATGTATTGGAGCCACACGAAGATTTGCGGCTTGATTTCACAAATGATCCGTTCTCCGCTGGCTTTGGGCTCCGGATGCATCCCTTAACTTAATAGATAGAGGATGCCCGCAAGTTCAGGTTCATGGGTTGACCATATGAGCGTGGACTGTTTGAGCGAAGCATTGATGCAATCAGCATATTTCCAAACCCGCATCGTACTTGCATAGTACACATGGAGTCAACAGAGAACCAGCTCTTGGTCTTAATTCTTTGGGGATACTTTAATGACGGGGTTTTCCGAAAATTCGGCGTACCTTTTTGGGTGTCCCTACAGTACGGATTATATACTTTGGGGGTCTAAGCTGGGGTCCCCCAAGTTAGGGGAACTACCATCTGCTGCTCACGCAGGTTACAAATACAGGCTCCTTTAGCAACACTCTGTAGCAAATCGTCAAGATTGCTGGGCAAAGACGTAGGCCTTTTTAGAAACCATTCTGATGGCTGCCAAAGAACATTGGCAGCATCAGAACTTGGCATCCTGGGATTTCCACGAAGGCACGAGAGGTGAGGAAGACCTGGTAGTTGCAGGCTGCAGGCTTCAGTACTCAGAGTTCCAAAACTTCAGTGGGGATAATTGGGGTTCAAGATTTAGGGCGGGCTCCGATAGCAGAGGGTCTCAAGGTAACCGAAGGCTCCCCAGTATTCCGCAATACTCCCTTGTGTGTCCAAGGCTGCGTAAGGTTCTCTAATAGCAACACCGCCTTTGATGCTCAAGGCTTCGGCTTCAGGGCTAAAACTAGGGTTGAATAGCAACGGCAAGGGCTGAAGCGGTAAGAACCCTCAAAATGAGATGCTCAATTTGGACACTCCCACTTTCACGCATGCCAACGGCAAGGACCGCCAAAGAGCATTGCGCCACCGAAGCGCTTCCCACTCCTGCATTGTAGTGAAGCTGCTGAAAAAACGTCTTGAGATGTAGGCTTTTGGGCTGAGGGATTTTCCTGAGAAACAAAAGCTTCTAGCTCCTACCCAGATTCTGACACAGTCTCGCCACGGATGATCTTGCCACAACGAGTTCCCACCACGTAGGGCGAGTCTAGGTCTACAACCGCCAAACCAGCTTCTAGCAGTTGCCCATCTTTCTTGAACGCCAAAAAGCCAAGGATGTTGGTGGCGATGAGTCCAGTCAGCAAGATCAGCAAAGGAGCTGTAAACTTTACATCGTTGGTCCCGCTTGCAATCAGCGCTCGTGTCTTCACGTAAATTTCATGCCAGGACTCACCCCAGGCGAACAGGAAGAGCGCAATGAATGCCAGCTGCTTGGCTATCGGCCATGCCGAAGCAAAGTCTGACATTTCGGGCATTCTCAGCATGCTGGGCGCTTCTGTGTCGGCCATCCGATCTGGATCTTGCCCTTCAACCTGGAATCCACGGGAAGGGTTGGCACAGAAACTACGGCAAGCTATTCTGGATGGAGTCAATCTTGCATCAGTTGAGGTTCCTAAACTGCTTGCTGGTGCCAACACGGGGTGGGTGAGTTATTGTAACTGTTCAATTACGCAAATCTAGGTCTGGCTATGGGACTCTAGTTAGATGCCCAAGGCACGTAAAGCATACTGAGTCAAGAACCTCCGTTCAAGCTCCGTGAGGAAGGGTCTATGAGTGCGTGACTTTATATAGTAATTAGGTAGGTGCGTTTACGGTCGCGCCCAACAACTTCTCTCTCTCTGCACTTGAGGCCCCAATGCAAGGACTGCTTGACCAACAGTAAGTGAGCTTGAAGCGTGAAACCTGAAGACGCACACCCGCATCCCCGTCCTAGAGGGATCTAAATTAGAGCACACCACGCCTTGGACCTACAAGCTAGCCTAAAGGTGCAAGTACCAAAATAGGGCACAGAATTTTTGCCATTTCGGACGCTTAGGTCACTGTGACTAGAACCGCAGCCTTGCCCCGAAACTCTCCTCTCTCTTTTTAAGCCCTCATGCGAACATATCTTGAAAAGAAGCAAAGAGCAATCAAACAAGTGCATCGCCCATATATGTACACATACACAGATACACCAAAATACCTGTACACATACATATATGCAAATAACAATTATAGTATGCTGTTATCACTAATATATCATTACATTACTAATCCGTTCCCCCTAATCTAGAATCCCTTCTCATATTCAAATCAATCCAGGGGCCTGAAGATCTTGAAGACCACTTTTACAAGGGCAAGACGACTAATTTTAAAGGGGGCACCTAATGTGAATTAGGGGGTTTCTGGGGTCATTGAAGGGGGATGATAAGGACTCAGAAGGACTTGGGAATCCCCTTGATGCCCTAGGTTTTAAATAGAACTTGTACAAAGGAAGTTCCATAACATGTAGATGCAGTTCTAATTGTTTGGAAAAAGCTGCTTTCGTTGCTTTCATGTGTTAATCAATTTTGAGACTTCAATTAGTTGCCAATCATTTTTTGTGATTTACTTGGAATTTAGATGGATTTCAACCGATGAGATTTTCCATAAGCTTCAACGATCTTATTCTAATTCGATCTTACTTTGATTTTATGAGAGGCAGCCCTATGTAATTCTTTCGACAAATAACACCCGCTAAATCAAAACATTTTCCAGCCTTCGGACTAATATGACCAAGGGGGAGGGGGGACATTGCTTAATTGTAGGGTGAAATAATTTAGTTATGGATATATACCGATGTCCAGGAAGTAGGATCCTTCGCAGCAAAGAAGCGATCCCAGTCGTTCGGAGTGGGCCATCAAAGTCATGAGGCAGCGGTGGAGGCAGTGGAGGTGCGTCCAGTGCAGCTGATGGCGCAGCCATGATGGGGGTTTAGGGTTTAGGGGTTTAGGGGTTTAAGGGTATACTAATGCAAAAGAAAATGGAGACTACTATATACGATTTAGGGTCATTTAAAAAGGCCGCATTTTCTCTGGTCTCCGCAGGAAATCCACTAGTCAGACATGGCAGTTAACCAAAATGCCTCGAAATGGCCATTATTTAACATAATTTCCCCCGTCTTTTCCGTGTAGACCTGCAGGAACAAATCCCGGAAGGACCCTGAGATCAACCCCCACCCTAAACCCTAAAAACCTAAACCCTAAACCCACATGGAAACAGGACCAGCCCCCTGTTGGAGGCTGAAGCCTGATAGAACCTGATGGGCGACCAAGACGGCGCTTGAACCATTCGGCACAGGGCAAGTTAGAATAGTTTCAATTCCCGATAGGGACAATGGAAAAGAACATGGAAACTATTATAATGGGTTATATAGGGTCTATATTGGGGTTCTATGATAATTTCAATTCCCAATTTAAAGCCATTTTGGTACTTTTCCCTCGGCCCTATATAAACCACCATTTAGGGCGAGGTAGGGTGAGGTCGCTTTAAATTGCCCAGTAAGCAGAGACACAGGTTCAGGACCTATTTTCAGGTTTTTGGACTGGGTTGGGGGCTTAGGACCTATGGCTTAGGGTTATGAGTTTAAGGTTGAGGGTTTCTCAGGTGCTCCATGTCCAGAAAATACTACCTGCATTAGGTCCCAAGGCCCATAAACAGCATCAACATTGCGCCATATGCGCTATGGGAGTCTCAGGGCTTGCCAACTTTTAGCTGCCGCACTTTCGTCTTCATAACTTCGGGAGAGGCCTTTAAAGCTTTCGACCCCTGTGAAGTTTTCGGAGGAGTTTGTGGTATATCGGGACTATGGGGCCTGATGTAATTGAGGGGTATGCAAGGCGTATACAAGGTCCCTACCTGGTCACCCTCTGCTGTAGTGGCCTTGGGTGTACAGTCTGGGCCTTCGGCCGCTTTGATAAGGATCGCTTATTCTGAGTTGATCTCCTCATACTGGTATTGAACACCCCGCGCCCCCAATCTTCAGAATGCTCCACAGGAGACGAAATTATGGATGGTATATTATTGAGCCACAGTCACTTTTTCTAGCATTCTTTCATGTTGTTGGAAACCTCAAGGACGCTGCGCATATACTTAGGTCTGCACTTAGCAATGCACATATTGTGGGGTTTAGGCGTTTCAAGTTTGACCTGTGATGGTTCACCTGGCAGCAAAACAAGCAACAATCAAATAAGTTGCTTCCAAACACATTGTTTTTAGATTAGTGCAGTGTCCTGACCCATGGGAAGTGGGTGTTTTGGGCCCGAGCAAACAATTGGAAATAGATTGGTTGCTCCCAAGCTGAGCCTTCCGAGAAGGACCCTGCTCTACAAAAACGTGATCGTTTAGGAACTCTTGTTCTGCTCTTGTTTCCTGCTCGTTCGGATACCAAGGTAAAACACAAACACCTGAACCACAAAAACCTAAAACTCTGAAGCCCAACCCCCCACTCCCCACCCTACATTCTAAGTAGGGTTGCGGACCAGCTGCCCTAAACCCTAAACCCGAAACCCGAAACCAACGGACCTCGGGCCAGCACGGATAGGACCTAAGGAATCTTCAGTGGCTACGGGGCGGTTTAGGATTAAGGGGCCTAGTTAAGGGCTTTGATTTCTTGAAATTGAGGGTATCCTCAGGTCTCTTTGGATATATGGTATATCTGTATATATATATATACAAGGGTCTACGGGTTTAGCGATTAGGATATAAACGCGTACATAGAAGACCTAGGGGGGTTGTCACAAGAGGGGTCCATACTGTCGTTTCTATTGGGAGAAACTCCCATGTGAAGGTTCGTAAAATAGGGGATCCTGAAAGGCCGAGGGATTTATAGGGTTTGCAAGGTAAGATGCGGGGTGCATCATGTAGAGGTCTGCTACTCTAGGGGGTGGAGGGGCGCTACGGCCAGGACCTCTTTCAAGGAGTTGTTTCTAGGTTCGAAAATTGAAGCTAAAGTGTAACAGCCCTTGCAGGCTTTTGTCAGATCAGTGATGGTCACATCCTTTTCTTGGACAACAAATGGCTGTCTCCCAACATAAGGGGACCCCTAATTTTGGGAAACCGTCTAAATGAATTCTTGCGGCACTTTTTGGCTCTCGACATTGTTTGACCTCAGAGAGTCTGTCAGAGCTTTTGCAACTCATGACTCTCTATGAGAGAGGAGCAAGAGCTGAAAATTGCTGTACAAACGGGGCTTTGAGCTCTCTGAGCCCAATACATTGTAACTGAGGAGTATATATATATATATGTGTATACAAATATATAGATACACCCTGAATCATACGAGGATCCCTAAAAGAATTCAAAGCATGTTCCTCACTTAAGGGGTATTGGGCGGGTCGTACTCCCGAATTCACACCTGGAGCCCTGCAGATGCGTGCCATGTTCGGCGTTTGAGGTGTTTGTAGGAATGATAGTCACTATTTGGAGCCTGTAGGGCTAGAGGAGTCATGAAGGGGTTAGAGCCTCATTCAGGTTTATGTAGGGTGTATGTTGAAACAGCTCCCAGTTCTTGGGGGCAACCCAGATGAACGCCCTTGCAACTTCTACCTGCAAAGGTCGTCCAAACTGTCTTCATTCATTGAACGGGGTGTAGAGTCTAGGAGCCTAGGCAAGCGCTTAGCTACCACAACCCAAGGCCAGACAATCTTTCTACGCGGATTCAAACAAACTTGGGGCGTACTGGAATATTGCATGGGATCTGGCAACAAAAAGCCCCAGGCCTTACACAAGTTTGAACAGCTTCTAGAAATCCCGATCCCTGAATCTAAATCTTTCGGCACAAAGCCGCGAGCGTGGGCATCTGCAACCTCCGCCAAATTACTTCACGGAACCCCCAGATGTGGGCCGAATAAAGACTACCGACGCTTTGCATTGGGCCCCAGCGGGGTTCCATGGTAGTTTGGGGAGGGTCTTGCCCCTGTACACGATCATGCATAACGAGACGAGGCTTGCCGCGCTCAGCAACTTTAGGTGCTAGCCTACATGGACTTGAGGATATTCCTGCAATTAGATTAATAAAGGAGGTGTATAAGGGTCATATAAGGTTTACGGCTTAAGGTTGGCCTTCTGTCAGGGTTTAGGGCTCCCAATCTTAGGAGTACGTTTTGGGGGGGTTCCCATAATAGGTTTGGGGTCTATATTGGGTCTCCCTAGTCATGGAAACTAACTACCAGATCGCAAAACTGGACACCCGACCCGCAAACCATTGACCACCAAAGCTAGGGCCTGCCCCATGAACCCTAAACCCTAAAGCCTTACCTGCCCTAAACCCTACTTGGGCTCTGAATGTCCTACCTTGTTTGTTAACTTCTAGACTGGTCGACGGTTATGCGTTGGCATACAAAGGCTGTAATTAAATCCAAGGACAACAGGAAGCCAACAACCTCTACCCTAAACCTCAAACCCTAAACCATGTCAATGTGTTGTTAACCCAAAAACAACCGGGACATGCGAATACAGATTCATTCGGTTTGAGGGCCCTACGATGTGC